AACCAGTGCTTAAAAGCATACACACTCTTTGAAGTCAGTCCCTCCCAGGTCCAAACTCTGGATCTACAATTTACTGCTGTGTGACCCAGATCAAGTTTTTTAACTGATATGTTTCAGATTCCTGTACTATAAAATGGGAATAATAATATTTATTTCACAGGGCCATTATAAGAAATAGATTAGTTAATATAATAAAAAAAGTTTGGCATACTGCTTGCTACATAGTAGACACTCAATAGATGGTTTCTATTGTTATTTATAATAAGCCTGGGACCCAGTGAAATGCTTATGAACCATAAATTCAGTCAGTGTTTTAGAGTAGATGCCCAGAGACTTTCTGTCACTTTGAGATGCTGTCAAGACACAGACACATAGACACATTCATATATACAAACACATTCTTGCTTGACTCTCTTTGTATTTATGGTAGACTTGAAAGAAGAGTGAGAGAGCAGAAGTGACAAATTGGTAAAGAGATTCCACTTCCAAGATTGGATTTATCTATAGTTTATTTTTATTACTCTCAGCTTCTATTGTGTATTGAAGTAAAGGTGGACACTATTAAAAAAAGAGCATATTTCAAGGTATGTGACATAGCTGCCAATTGCTAAGACAGAACTGCTTATTAATGTGCACGTGTGTTGTATGGTGGGAAAAGGAGAGCCGAAGGGACATCGGAGATGACACAGGTTGAGGGGAGAAGTCTGACACAGGTTGAGGGGAGAAGTCTGTATGAAAGATCCTTTTAATGTATTTTTTTAAATTTAATTTTTTTTTTGGCTGTGTTGTGTCTTCATTGCTGCACAAGGGCTTTCTCTGGTGGCGGCGAGCAGGGGCTACTCTTCGTAGTAGTGCGCAGGCTTCTCATTGTGGTGGCTTCTCTTGTTGCTCTAGGCATGCTGGTTTCAGTAGTTGTGGCACACAGCCTCAGTAGTTGTGTCCCACGGGCTCTAGAACACAGGCTCAGTAGTTGTGGTGCACAGGCTCAGCTGCTCCGCGGCATGTGGGATCTTCCCAGATCAGGGATTGAACCTGTGTCCCCTGCATTGGCAGGCGGATTCTTAACCACTGCGCCACCAGGGAAGTCCTGAAAGATTCTTTTGAACTCTGGATTGACCACATCAAGGGATAATCACAGTTCCTGATGGGATCTGCAAAATGAAGTTATGGAGGTATATCCCTGAGCTGACTTTCTCTGTGTACATTATAGAGAGACTATTGAAACCATTTTAGCAATTATTCATTTTCTAACTGTACAGGTACCATGTTAGGGGCTGCGGAGACTTAATTAAGCTCCAGAAGTGTGTGTAGAAGACATCAAAATTGACTTGAGCAGTTAAGTCATAACTTGGGCCTTTCAACCATGATTACACTTAAAACTTTTACGTTGTTTAATGGTCATTTGGCCAGCCTGTTTACAGTGGCATATGGGACTTGCAAAGGTAAACAAAAGTTTCAATTCAGAGTTTTTAAAAAAACAACTAACTTAATATTTTTAAATTAATTTTTTTAAAGGTGAAAGGTATAGCTAATAAATACTTGAAAAGATGCTCAACATCATTAGCCAGTGAAATGCAAATCAAAATCACAGTGAGATACTGCTTCAAACCCAGTAGGGTGGCTATAATAAAAAAGATAGATAATAGCACGTGTTGGTTAGTATGTGGAAAAATTAGAATCCTCATATATTGCTGGTGGTAGTGGAAAAAGGTGCAGCTGCTATGGAAAACAGTTTGGCAGTTCCTCAAAAAATTAAACATGGAGTTATGGAATTGACCTAGCAATTCTACTCCTAGGTATACAATCTAAAGAATTCAAAATATGGGGCTTCCCTGGTGGTGCAGTGGTTGAGAATCTGCCTGCTAATGCAGGGGAAATGGGTTCGAGCCCTGGTCTGGGAGGATCCCACATGCCGCGGAGCAACTAGGCCCTTGAGCCACAACTACTGAGCCTGCACGTCTGGAGCCTGTGCTCCGCAACAAGAGAGGCCGTGATAGTCAGAGGCCCGCGCACCGCGATGAAGAGTGGCCCCCGCTTGCCACAACTAGAGAAAGCCCTTGCACAGCAACGAAGACCCAACACAGCAAAAATAAATAAATAAATTACTAAACTCCTACCCCCAACATCTTCTTTAAAAAAAAAAAAAAAAAAAAAGAATTCAAAATATGGTAACACAATAACCTGAACACAAATGTTCATAGTAGTGTTATTCATACTAGCCAAAAAAGTAGAAATAACCCAAATGTCCATCAACTGATGAGTTGATAAACAAAATGTGGAATATCCATACAATGGCAAATCTATTCAGCTGTAAAAAAGAATGAAGTGCTGGGACTTCCCTGGTGGCACAGTGATTAAGAATCTGCCTGCCAATGCAGGGACATGGGTTCGATCCCTGGTCCAGGAAGGTCCCACATGCCTCAGAGCAACTAAGCCCGTGTGCCACAACTACTGAGCCTGCGCTCTAGAGCCCGCGAGCCACAACTACTGAGCTCACGTGCCACAACTACTGAAGCTTGCACTCCCTAGGGCCCGCGTGCTGCAACTACTGAGCCCGCATGCTACAATTACTGAAGCCTGCGCGCCTAGAGCCTGTGCTCTGCAGCAAGAGAAGCCACTGCAATGAGAAGCCTGCACATCCCAATGAAGAGTAGCCCTCACTCCCCGCAACTAGAGAAAGCCTGTGTGCAACGAGACCCAATGCAGCCAAAAAAAAAGAATGCAGTGCTGATTCATGTTACATGGTTATACCTTGAAAACAATGCTAAATGAAAAAAGCCAGATACAAAAGGCCACATGTTTTATGATTTCATTTATATGAAATGTCCAGAATAGGCAAATCTATATAGACTGAAAGTAGATTAATGGTTGTCAGAGACCGAGAGAATAGGGGGAGTGGGGAGTGACTACTAATGGGTATGGGGTTTCTTTTTAGAGTGATGAAAATGTTCTAAAATTGGATAATGGTGATAATTGCACAGCCTTGTGAATATACTAAAAACCACTGAATTGTACAATTGAAAAGGGTAAGTTTTATAGCATGTAAATTGTATCTCAAAAGAGCAAAAATAAAACATGTACCTACAGTGGGCATGAAGCATGAATGAGAAGTAAACTTTGTTGTCATAAAAAATAATTGTGGGAAGAGGAGGTAATTCATGGTTAGGAAAAGATTCTGTGGAGAAACAAGCCATCCTTCTATTAGAGATTCATAATGCAGAGTAGCCGATCTGAAGTTCTGAAAGTCTTATGAAGATGGAAACTTATTTAGCTTCATTGAGCCAGTATCTCCCAAACATTTCATTATAAAAAACATTTATTCACGGCAATCACGTTGAACTAGTGTCCTAGAGACGAGTGAATCTTGGTCTTGAGCATTCGTATATAGGTGGATCACCTGGATTGTTTGTTAAAACAGATTCTGGGTCCCCACCCCAGAGATCCTGATTTCAGAGGTCTTGGCTGCAGGCTGAGAATTTGCATTTCTGACAAGCTCCCAGATGATTTTGTCCTTCAGGTTTGAGAACTAAACTTTGAGTAGCATCTTTATAGAATAGTCAAATCCTGTACCTTAAATGGGTGAATTTTATGGCATGTGAATTATATCTCAATAAAGATGCTAAAAAATTTGATATACTAGAAATAGCACTAAAATGTGGATTCTAGTGATTTTGTTAATGCAAGACAGTATGCTCTTTGAGTGATTTGTTTCCATTAAAAATTTCTTCATCTATAAAATGAGTCACTGTTCTATGTATTACGTAGGGTTGTGGTGAAAATGAGGCAATGTACTCTTCCAAATTGTGTTCTGTAGATAAAAACATGTTACTTTAAAAAAAAAGTTGAAAAAAAAAAAAAAAAAGTTGATGGTCAGCTAAGTTTGGGAGTCTCTAAATTAATAATGCATATTCCAGATTGATGGTCAGACCATTATTTTTGACTTGGATCCTAATATCACTCTCTCTATATAAAATCAATTAAGTATGAGCTTTTTATTAATTCTTATTCTTGTAGTAGATCCTCTGAAGCTACAAAGATCCTTATAAAGTAGAAGCTGAATAAGCAAGGTTTGAATAATATTGCGGGACCAGCAATAGTTGTTCCTCTTTTGCTTCAATGCTGTTACATCCTGCTTGATATTTTATTGACCTATTTATCTGAAAAATTATTGGCCAAACAGAATTTTAACATAAGACTATTGGCTATGATAAAATAATGTCTAGGAAATTTAAGAGAATAATTGTAGCCAGTTATTTGTCTCTTTTAATCAATTTATGTTCATAAAGCAACTTATTTTCAAAATTCGATTGAAGCTAATTTAAGTATTATATCCAGAAATAATTTTGGCTCTTTAGTATTTTAATAGAGAAAAAAATAAATAGTTTTCCCTTCTCCCTTTTTTAAAAAAAAAAAAATTATTTATTTATTTGGTTGTGCCAAGTCTTAGTTGCGGCTGGCGGGCTTCTAGTTGCAGCTAGCCAGCTCCTTAGTTGCGGCATGTGGACTCCTTAGTTGCAGCATGCGAACTTTTAGTTGTGGCATGCATGTGGGATCTAGTTCCTTGACCAGGGATCAAACCCGGGCCCCCTGCATTGGGAGCGTGGAGTCTTAACCACTGCGCCACCAGGGAAGTCCTCCTTCTCCCTTTCTTAAACTTGGACTATTTATTTAAAAAAAAAATTGAGTCCCTCATTACCGTCTTTATTTGAAGCTTTTATAATTAACCAAATGTTTTCTTATATAAGCAGTTTAAACTTTAAAATTTTGTTTACTTATTTTAATTTTAGCTGAAAAGCATTTCTTTCCTGATTTTCTTTAGTGATCTATTTTAAGCATTATTTTTGATGTTATAATCTATTTTTAGCCCCTTTCCTAGAATTCTTTTGTTGAATTAAACTTCCTGAAATTAAATATATTATTAATGTGGCATTGGGAATGCATGTATATATAGTTTGAAAACATCTTTTCAGAACATTAATATAATTGTACCTTTATTTCAGATGAAGTGGAGGACCATCCTACTACAATATTGTTTTCTCTTGGTTACATGTATACTTACTGCTCTTGAAGCTGTGCCTATAGACATAGACAAGACAAAAGTAGAAAATGCTCAACCTGTGGACAGTGCAAAGATAGAACCACCAGTAAGTGAATGCTAAAGATAACCTTGTGGGAAGAATTTTAACTAAAATATTGCTAAGAATTTATTACTTATAAAATTGGACATTTAGGAACTATTTCTGAAATAGCAGTAAAAAGAGTATTGGATAAGCATATGTTCTTTAATATCAAAGTTTTTTTAATGTAGTTATATTAGATATATATATGCAATTAGTATATTAGTGTATAGAAGAATTAATCATAATACATTTCCAATGTAGAGATAACCAATCAAGAAAATGTATTATATTCAGAGAAGAGACAGATAACAATGAGGAGAGACAGGTGACAAGGGGGTAAAACCAATTAGTATATTGGTTAAGTATTCATTGTCTAAGCTATATAGAAAATCTACCTTTATGTAAGAGTAAAACATAACATTGGCTCTGATACAACTCTCTTCATTTGAGAAATTCAGCTTTTAACTTTGGCTGCCCAAACTATCAAAGTAGGTATGTCTCAATGCCATTTTGCTAGACGTTTTTTATTTTGTTTGTTTGTTTTTTTAGGATTGAAATCTTTAGATACAGGAAAGGAAAAACTTTCAGAAGAGTTACTGTTTGTTTCTTAATTTGAAGGATACTGGACTTTATTATGATGAATACCTCAAGCAAGTGATTGATGTGCTGGAAACAGATAATCATTTCAGAGAAAAGCTCCAGAAAGCAGACATAGAGGAAATAAAGGTAAATGTAATTAAACAATTATTTAACAAACACTTGAGCATGCCAGACACTGAGCTAAGTATTGGAATTACAAAGATAAGACTCGGGACTTCCCTGGTGGCACAGTGGTTAAGAATCCACCTGCCAGTGCAGGGGACACAGGTTCGAGCCCTGGTCTGGGAAGATCCCACATGCCATGGAGCAACTAAGCCCGTTTGCCACAACTACTGAGCCCGCATGCTACAACTACTGAAGCCCACGCACCTAGAGCCCGTCCTCTGCAGCAAGAGAAGCCACTGCAATGAGAAGCCCGCACACTGCAAGGAAGAGTAGCCCCCGCTTGCTGCAACTAGAGAAAGCCCGCACATAGCAATGAAGAACCAACACAACCAAAAATAAAAAAATAAATAATTCAAACAAACAAAAAACAAAGACTCATTCTTAGCCCTTAAAGAACCCTCAAGGGAGACTAATATCCAGAAAAAGATTACTAAGATAAATATACGCTGAGTGTATGATACATTTTGGAGATACAGAGGATGGACACCTAATTCAGTAGGAAGCAGTGGGGGAAGGTGGGAGGTCTTGCTTCCTGGTAGGGATTATGCCTGTGCTTAGATATGCGGCTGAGAAAAGGAGAAAGACTGGGAGACATGCTAGGCCAAGGTACAAGGGAACAGAGACAGGAATATATAGGAACCTGGAAGGAGTAACTGTTGCTGGAACCTGGCCTGGGAAGTGGAGGCCATGACTGGCCAAAAGATGAGGCTGGAAAGAGTCATGGGCTAGATGACAGAGGGCCTTGTACATCATGGTAAGGGGCTTGAATCATGATATGAGGACAGCAGGAAGCTATTCAAAGGTTTAGCACAGGTTTAGTTCTGGTGTTTTAATCAGGTCCAGATTAATAGAAGACGTAACGGGCCATATCTTATCTCAATAGGGGAGGTTTAATTATTTGTCTCTGTCCTAAGAACCCTATTTATTTGACATTATCTTAGCCCTATACATCTCCTTAGTATTCACAATAAAGAAAGATGGTTGTAAAAACCAGGATCTGACCTGAGAGATTCTTTTAAAGCCCACCCTTGAAGGGTAATGAATCCACTTAGTTGGGTTTAATCTTAGAGTCAGCAGTAAAAAAAAAATTCCAATGATTTAATTTTAAACTTTCAGTTATAACTCTCAAGATAGTTTTATTGGTTTGCTTATGTTATTTTTGTTTATCTGTTTTTAACTTTCGTAAAAAGTTATCTTACCTGGAACTTTGTTTCAAGGAAAATTTCTGAATCAAACATCCTTATTTTAGTCTCTGTCCCTGGTCTGGGCCCCTGTGAAAGTCTGACCTGCATTAGGTTGTGGCCACTATCAGAACCTGTGTGTGGCTTTTATTTATTTTATTGTATTATTATTTTTTAAAATAAATTTATTTATTTATTATTTCTTTTTGGCTGTGTTGGGTCTTTGTTGCTGCACATGGGCTTTCTCTAGTTACCGTGAGTGGGGGCTGCTATTTGTTGCGATGTGTGGGCTTTACATTGTGGTGGCTTTTCTTGCTGCAGAGCATGGGCTCTAGGCGCTTGGGCTTCAGTAGTTGTGGCACTCAGGCTCAATAGTTATGGCTCTAGAGCACAGGCTCAGTAGCTGTGGCGCACGGCCTTAGCTGCTCCGTGGCATGTGGGATCTTCCCAGACCAGGGCTCAAACCCGTGTCCCCTGCATTGGCAGGTGGATTCTTAACCACTGCACCACCAGGGAAATCCCTGTGTGTGGCTGTCCTCTTGGAGGCTGTGAATTTTTCTGGGAGAATGGTAACAGCCTTATGCCAATAATTCCCTTGAATTATCTTTATTTTATTTTATTTTATTTTTTTGAATTATCTTTTTTTTTTTTTTTTTTTACGGTACGCGGGCCTCTCACTGTTGTGGAGCACAGGCTCTGGACGCGCAGGCTCAGTGGCCATGGCTCATGGGCCTAGCCACTCCGCGGCATGTGGGATCTTTCCGGACCAGGGCATGAACCTGTGTCCCCTGCATTGGCAGGCAGACTCTCAACCACTGCGCCACCAGGGAAGCCCTGAATTATCTTTTATTAATTGAAGTATATTTGACATACAGTATTATATTAGTTTCATATGTACAACATAGTGATTTGACTTTTGTATACATTGTGAAATGATCACCACAATAAGTCTAGTAACCATCTGTCACCATACAAAATTAATACAATATTATTGACCTCATGCTGTACATTACATCCTCATGACTTATTTATTTTATACCTGGAAGTTTGTACCTCTTGATCCCCTTCACCCATTTCACTCCTCCCCCAACCTCCCTCCACTCTGGCAACCACCAATTTGTTCTCTGTATCTATGAGTCTGTTTTTTGTTTGGTTTAGTTGGTTGGTTTGTTCTGTTTTTTTAGATTCCACCTATGTCATGCGGTATTTGTCTTTCTCTGTCTGACTTATTTCACTTAGCATGATATCTACAGTCCCCTGAATTGTTTTGGGAATAATCTCGTGTTTCCTTGAAAAATTCATTTGAGCTGTGGAACTAATTTCCTAGGATGAATGATATTTAATGTAGAACTTTCAGTGTCTCTTATTTACTTCAGTTAGGACTAAGAGCGTTATTTGGGGGCTAACAGACAGTGTGGGTAATGGGAGTTACTATATAGAGATAATCAGGGAAAAGAAAACAACAAGCTTGCCTTCCTCGGTATAGGAGAATACTTTTATAACTGTCTTCCTTTCACAGTCAATTCCTATTCCCTATAGGGTTGCATGGGGGGAGACAAAATGAAGTAAGTTAAACAGTTGTTTAATGAAAAAGAAATTGAGTAGAAATAGACAATAAAAATCAAGCCGATAGAATCATTACAAACAGCTGAGCAAAGACTCCTGTCTCAGGAAAAACTGGAAAAAAAAGTTAGAAGTTGTCCTTTGTTGTCAGCTAAGCATTTTGAAAGGAGAATCATACTATGTTTCTTCACTTACCAAACATTGCTAACTGGGAAGATTATGGCTTCACCCACACCACTTCCCTGAATGTACTTTTGTGAAGGATGTCAGTTGACTTCCTTATTTTTTTTTAATTAAAAAAATATATGTTTATTTATTTATTTGACTGCACCGGGTCTTAGTTGCGGCAAGTGGGATCTTTAATTGCAACATGCGGGATCTTTAGTTGCAGCATGCGGGACCTAGTTCCCTGACCAGGGATCAAACCCGGGTCCCATGCACTGGGAGCATGGAGTCTTAACCACTGGACCACTAGGGAAGTACCTGTCAGTGATTTCTTAATTGCCAGATCTAGTGAGCACCTTTTATTCCTCTTCTTACTGGACTCCTTTATTTTATCTCAGTGGTTCTCAGATTTTAAATTGTTAAAACAGATTTCTGGGCCCCACCTCCTGACTTTCTGATTCAGTAAGTCTAGGGCCTCCATATCTAAAGTTCCCAGGTGATGCTGTTGCTTCCACTTTGGGACCACACTTGAGAACTATTGTTTTATCTAATAATAATGACCATTCTCTCCTTGAAATGTACTACTCTTATTGCTTCTGTAACGGCATATTCTCTTAGCTCTCCTCCCTCTCTGAACATTCTTTCTTGGTCTTGCTTGAGGTGTTTCTTTTCCTTCCCTTCCTCCCCCTTGACTCAGTCCTGAAGGGTCTGTGTGCCTGATTGCTAGTTAGACTTGCAGTTTCTGATTGAAAATGCATTTTTAAACAAGAGAAGTTAAACCACTAGCTATTTTGTCTCTTAAATTTTGTAACATGTATAGAATTACTCATCTATGAAAAAAAAGTAATCAAAGGAGGCAACCTAAAAAAGATGAAATTTGAAAAGTTATTTATATATGGAATGACTAAAGCTTAAGGAGGCCACATTACTTAAAAAAAAACTTTATTAAAATATAATTCACATACCATAAAATTTGCCCCTTTAATGTATACAATTCAGTGGTTTTATTTTATGTACAGAGTCATGTAACCATCACCACTATCTAATTTTAGAACAATTTTGTTTCCCCCCAGAAGGAGCCCTGTACTCATTAAGCAATCACTCCCCCTCTCCTTTCTCTCCTCAGCCCCTGGCAACCATTAATCTACTTTCATTATCTGTGCATTTGCCTATTCTAGACATTTCATATAAATGGAATCATACAAAATTTGGCCTTTTGTGCCTGGCTTCTTTGACTTAGCGTAATGTTTTCAATGTTCATCACGTTGTAGCATGTATCGGTGTATTCATTCCTTTTAATGGCTGAATAATATTCCACTATATGGATATTCCATATTTTATCAATTCATCAGTTGATGGACATTTGGGTTATGTCTACTTTTTTGGCTCGTATGAATAATGCTGCTATGAACATTCATATTTAAGACTTTATGTGAGGACTTCCCTGGTGGCGCAGTTGTTAAGAATTCTCCTGCTAATGCGGGGGATATGGGATCGAGCCCTGTCCGGGAAGATCCCACATGCTGCGGAGCACCTAAGCCCGTGTGCCACAACTACTGAGCCTGTGCTCTGGAGCCTGTGAGCCACAACTACTGAGCCTGGGTGCTACAACTACTGAACCCCACGTGCCTAGAGCCTGTGCTCCACAACAAGAAAAGCCACCGCAATGAAAAGCTTGCACACTGCAACAAAGAGTAACCCCCGCTCACCGCAACTAGAGAAAGCCCGAGTGCAGCACCGAAGACCCAATGCAGCCAAAAATAAAATATAAATAAATAAATAAATTTATTTAAAAAAAAAGACTTTATGTGAACATATGTTTCAACTCTTTAGGTATATACCTAGGAATGGAATTGCAGGGTCATATGGTAACTGTGGGTTTAACTTTTTGAGGAACTGTCAAAATTGTTTTCCAAAGTGGCTGCACCATTTTACAATTTAAGTTACTTTGTGTGTGTGTGTGTGTGTGTGTTTGCGGTACGCGGGCCTCTCACTGCCGTGGCCTCCCCCACCACGGAGCACAGGCTCCGGATGCACAGGCCCAGCGGCCATGGCTCACGGGCCCAGCCGCTCCGCGGCACATGGGATCCTCCCGGACCAGGGCACGAACCCGTGTCCCCCGCATCGGCAGGCGGACCCTCAACCACTGCGCCACGAGGGAAGCCCTACAATTTAAGTTACCTTTTGAGTTTCTTCTTTGTGCTTTAATTATGCTTTTCTAAATTATATGGTTTTTAGACATCTTTATTTTAGAGTCACAAACTGAATATCTTCTGAAAGAAATGCTGTTTGTAATGTCAAATTTATCTAAAATAGTCAAAAGTATCACTACTTTATTATAACCCTATTTTTAATATATTGTGTCTTATCTAAAAATGCAATGGAATAGATAAAATTAATTTATTATTTTTGTTAACAGAGTGGGAGGCTAAGCAAAGAACTGGATTTAGTAAGTCACCATGTGAGGACAAAACTTGATGAACTGAAAAGGCAAGAAGTGGCAAGGTTAAGAATGCTGATTAAAGCTAAATTGGATTCCCTTCAAGGTAAGTGCTAAAGAAAAGGCAGGAAAATTCCAATATTTGGTTGTTAAGGTCAGTTTACAGACCATGTTCCTATAGTCAACATTTAATATTAGTATTGATTTGGCTTCTCATATATTTTTTTAAAATTTATTTGTTATTTATTTATTTATTTATTTAGGCTGCGCTGGGTCTTAGTTGCGGCACTCGGGATCTTCATTGCGGCATGCGGACTTCTTAGCTGCAGCATGTATGCGGGATCTAGTTCCCTGACCAGGGATCAAACCCAGGCCCCCTGCATTGGGAGCTGGAGTCTTACCCATTGGACCACCAGGGAAGTCCCACCTTCTCTTAATTTTTAAAATTTAATTTTTTGAATAGGTTATACATTCATGTCATTCAAAAATCAAAATGATTAGCCTTAAATAATTATATCAGTAAAAAGGAAGAATGAAAAATAATGAATTAAGCCACTGATTTAAAAGAGGAAAAATAACATCAAAGCAAACCAAAAGAAAGTAGAGAGAGAAAATCTAATTAGAACAATTTCCATAGATGAAATAGAACAATTGTCAGAGCTAGCTCCACAGAAACACCAGGTTCAGATAGTGCCAAAGGGAATTCCACCAAACCATTAAAGATCAGATTGTCAATGCTATTTAAAGTATTCCAGAGCATAGATTAAGAAGGAAACTTCCACACTCTTATGATGTGTTGATGCCAAAACCAAAATTATTGGACGTTAAAAGAATATTCTATCATAGCAAGTGGATTTATTTCAGGAATGCGAGATTAACTTAATTTTAGGAAATCTAATACTGTAAATTATCATATGAATAGATATAAGAAGAAAGAAATTTTTGGTGTGACAAAAGAAATTGTAAAGTCAAAGGACAAATAATGAATCAGAATAAATCTTTGAAATTTGTATTTTTTTAAAATTAAGACAATTCTTATAGTGCAATATAAGGTTCACAGCAAGATTGAGGGTAAGGTACAGAGATTTCCCGTACACCCCTGTCCCCAAATGTTCATAGCCTCACCCAATACCAACATCTCGCAACAGTGTGGTACATTTGTTACAATTGATGAACCTACACTGACACATCATAATTACCCCAAATCCGTAGTTTATATTAGAGTTCACTCTTGGTGTTGTGCATTCTATGGGTTTAGGCAAATTTATAATGACATGTATCAACTGTTATAGTATCATACAGAGTAGTTTCACTGCCTTAAAAATCCTCTGTGCTCTGCCCATTCATCTTTCTATATTCTTTTAATTTTAGACTATGAGAAGATTAAATAGATATGAAGCAGAGTTTTTGAAATGTGAAGATATCTTAAAGAAAGTAATCTCATTGTTCATATGATCATCTCCATATATTCAGAAGAGGCATTTGACAAAAATTAACACCCCTTCTTAATTTAAAAAAAGTAATAAAATAGTAATCAATAGATACTTCTGTAACATGATCAGATATGTCCAACTCAGCTACACATTGGGGAAACACAAATATATTTTCTCACTAAAATCAGAAACAAAACAATGATGCTCACTGTCACCACTACTAATTAATATTGTTTTGGAGGTACTAGCCAAAGCAATTATACAAATGAAAAAATTGGAGGTAAAATAATTAGAAAGTAGGGGATAAAACCATCTCTATTTGCAGGTAATATAATTATTCACTTGGAAAACCCAAAGAACTTGTCTGAAAAACTTAGTATATACAAAAGGAAAATTCAGCAAGGTAAACAATATACAGAAATCAGTGTTTTTCATATGTACAAACAACAGCCAGTTAGGAGATATAATGGAAGAAAAGACTCCATTTATGATACCAACAAAGATAAAACACCCAGAATAAACCTATTAAGAAATGTGCAAAACTTACAGATAAAAACTTTAAAATGCTCCTGAAGAACACGAAAGTAGACTTGAAAAAAGGGGAAGACATAACATCTTTTTGATACAAAGACTCAACATTATGAACATGTCAGTTCTTCTTAGGTTAATTTACAAATTTAACATGATCCAAATAAAAAGATGTACTTTTTTCCCCTGGTACTAGCCAAGTTAATTTTAAAGTTCATGTGAGAAGAGAAATGAGCAAGAAAAGCGATGTGCCTCTGAGGAAGAATAAAGAAGGACTAGATATATTAGATATTAAAATATATCACTAAACCTCAGACATTAGAACTCGATGGTTTTGTCATGTAAGTAGAAAGACCAGTGGAACAAAATAGAAATTCCAGAAATAAAATTAAATACATATGGAATTTAGTTTGAATTAAAGGTGGTATCTCATTATTAGTGAGATAAAGATTTAAAAAAAAAAGTAGTCTTAATAGAGTTGGATAGCCATTTGGAAAAAGGTACAGTTAGATTTATATCTCATATACATCAGAATAAGTGCTTATATAAATCAAAGATTTAAGTGTAGAAAATAAAACCATAAAAGCAACAGTTGACAACATAAGTGAATTCCTTTATTGTCTTGGAATGGCCTTTCTAATTATGAATCAAAATCCAAGGGCCAGCTTTGGCAAGTGGGAAACCCTTCAAGCTGGCTCCTGTGTCCTTGTAACGTGCCCCCATAGGTTGGTTATCTGGGTGGTTCATTGTCATCAATAAATATCTGAATACTTACTAAGGGTAGAATAGCAGTTCTTAAACTTCAGATTGCATAAAAATCACCTTAGGGAGCTAGTTAAAAATGCAGATTACTGGATCTCACCTCCAGATACTCTGATTCTAGGGATGAGTAATCTGCATTTTATCTTTTTATTTTTTTTAAATAGTTATTTATTATTTATTTATTTTTATTTTGGCTGTGCCGGGTCTTAGTTGCTGCATGCAAACTCTTAGTTGTAGCATACATGCAGGATCTAGTTCCCCGACCGGGGATCAAACCTGGGCCCCCTCATTGGGAGCACAGAGTCTTACCCACTGGACCACCAGGGAAGTTCCTGCATTTTAAACATGTACCTCTGGTCAATGGATCATATTGGAGAAATTGTGTAGAGCAGTAAACTCTCTGCTGGTGAATAGACTTAGAAAACAAGTACCAAATACTCTTTATCCTGAAACTAAGGATATCAATGAGAGGTAAATTAACTCATACCATCCTACTTCAGCTGGTCAGACACACAAGGTAATTCCATCCTTGAAGCCAGGCCTAAGGTGGTTTGAGATTTCTTTGCCCTTAGACAACTTCCATCCCCTTAATCTTGGCAACATTTTCTTTATTCCAAAACAGGGTCTGAATTTCATTATCTAAAGTAAACTGTTTTATATGCTTAGAAAAGTTATGAGTATTTTCTCATTGATTCAAAATTTATGAATTAAAATTTCTGATAATTTGAAAGAGGGCTTAAAGCGTCTTAATTTTGCGGGGTGTGTGTGTGTAATTTTTAAAGTAGGCAATACATTCACGTGGTTTAAAAAAAGAAAGTGTAAGGGGCTTCCCTCGTGGCACAGTGGTTGAGAGTCCGCCTGCCGATGCAGGGGACGCGGGTTTGTGCCCCAGTCCTGGAAGAACCCACATGCTGCGGAGTAGCTGGGACCGTGAGCCATGGCCGCTGAGCCTGCACGTCCGGAGCCTGTGCTCCGCAATGGGAGAGGCCACAGCAGCGAGAGGCCCGCGTACTGCAAAAAAAAAAATAATAATAAAATAACACTGGTGACTCAGAGCCTGGAGTTGGAACCAAAGCCACAGACTACCCCCCAGAAAACGCTATTTTAAAAGTGTAAGAAAGTATATAGCAAAAAGTTCCATGATATTTTCGTACTTTATCAGTTCCCACTGCCCCCTAATACCATCCTTCCTGAGTTTCTTTACTCATATATAAACAAATATAAATAAAAGTTCTTATTTTTCCTCTCTTTTATACAAAAGATACATGCAATACACGTTTGTAGCTTGTATTTTTCCTTTACTAATATATTTTGGAGATCTTTCTGTATTAGTACATAGAGACCATCATTTTTTTTAGCAACTGTGCAGATTTCCATTATATAGGTATACCATAATTTATTTACCAGACCCCTGTTGATGGACATTTGGGTTATTTCTAGTGAGCACTCATGTACACATACCACTGTGTATCCATGTAAGATTATCTGTAGGATAAGTTCCCCACAATGAAACTGTTAAACCAAAGGATATATGTATTTGTAATTTTGGTAGATACTGCCACCTCCACAGAGGGTGATCAATACCCATTCCCACCAGCAATAATTTCTTACAGCCTTGCTAATTATAAGTATCATCAAACTTTAGGAGTTTTGCCACTCTGTTAGATGGTATAATTGTGCAGGTTTAATATGTATTTCTCTTATTTTGAGTGAGGCTAAGTGTCTTTTCATGTATTTCAGTGACGGGCCGTATCCTTTAGGGCTAGGTTTTGTAACAGATCTTTTCTTCGTAAGTAAAACTTCTAGTACAGGGCCATACTGAGAATTCAGTGAAAGCTTAGTTGAACTAAATTTAGCTGTTTCTTACTTTCTGGCATAACAATATGTTCCAGGCTCATCTTGTACTTTATACCCTGCCCTAGCCCTGGAATTAGCCATTTCTCTGAGGATTCCTGGTTCTTAATTTTAGTGCGAAATGATGTTACAGACCAAGAGATGGCACTAGGTGTGCTCAGTACTCCTGGGATATATTTTCTTCTTGACACTTCCATAGGACAGAGATAGGAAATACATGCATGTCTATACACATATGCGTGCACATACACATATATAAATATATATTCATACACATGCATATACTTGTAAAACATACATGCATATATGTGTACACATTATATATGTATGTTTTAGAAATAATAAGTTCACACAGTTAGTACTAATTCCCATCCCTTTCCCCAAGTTTCTTTCTTGCCTTCCATCATCTTCATGTTTGTATGTTCTTTTTTCCTAAGTGAGAACCCTGACTTCTAACAAATCAACACATGTACATATTTTGCTCAGTTTTATAATACAACTGAAATCGTCCAGAATTGCTTCACTCATTCAACTACAATACACTGTAGCCTTTTTTTTTTTTTTTTAAGTTCTTTACGAAGAAAACAGTTGATGTTTCTTTAAAAATCAGTCATAATCAGGGACTTCCCTGGTGGTCCAGTGGTTAAGACTCTGCTTCCAGTGTAGGGGGCAAGGGTTCGATCCCTGGTGGAGGATCTAAGATCCCACATGCTATGCTGTGCAGCCAAAAAAAAAAGTCATAATCAATTGAATTTACTGAATTAGATTTTTATTGTGTCATAAAGGATTAATTGGAGCAGCATACAAATAGTTCCTTCATATAAATTTTAGAGCAATTCTTTTTAGAAATTCTTCTTAGGACTTCCCTGGTGGTCCAGTGGGTAAGACTCTGTGCTCCCAATGCAGGGGGCCCGGGTTCCATCCCTGGTCGGGAAACTAGATCCTGCATGCATGCCGCAGCTAAGAAGTCCACATGCCTCAACTAAGTAGTCCGCATGCCCCAACTAAGAAGCCCACATGCTGCAAGTAAGCATCTGCATGCCACAACTAAGAAGTCCACATGCTGCAAATAAAAGATCTCACATGCTGCAATTAAGACCTGGTGCAGCCAAAAGAAAAATAAATTCTTATAAAAAAAAAAAGAGGGCTTCCCTGGTGGCGCAGTGGTTGAGAGTCCGCCCGCCGATGCGGGGGACACGGGTTCGTGCCCCAGTCCAGGGAGATCCCGCGTGCCGCAGAGCGGCTTGGCCCATAAGCCATGGCTGCTGGGCCTGCGTGTCCGGAGCCTGTGCTCCGCAACGGGAGAGGCCACAACAGTGAGAGGCCCGCATACAGCAAAAAAAAAACAAAAAAAAAAGAAAGAAATTCTTCTTAGACCTTTGGTGAGGGTAGTATATTAGAGTTTAATTAAAAGTAGGAAATTTGGTACTTTTACAATAATGAAAAAGTTTTTACTGTAAACTATACTGTAAAAGATAGCTAACTAGTCTTTCTTGAAATAACATTAAAATGTACACATTAAATTGTATTCCATTCTAGATTCAAGGGCATTACCTTTGACTAGAATAACAATATGTACAATATTCTAAAAGAAAATACGAACTTTTAAATCTAAAACTTTGAATTTTCTTAGTAAAATCCTATAGGAATTAATATGAATGCTTATTCTTATGTATTATTTATATTAATGTTTCTAGCTTCTAATAATTTATTGTTTACAGTTTTCTCATTTTCTTTCAGATACAGGCATAGACCACCATGCTCTTCTAAAGCAATTTGATCATCTAAATCACCTGAATCCTGAGAAGTTTGAATCTACAGATTTAGATATGCTAATCAAAGCGGTGAGACTCATTTCAAAATGTGTTGTCTTTGTTGTGCCTTTGAGGTTTTGTAATTTGACAAGTAAATTCCATGAAGTGATAGTATAACTTTTACATACTCTCTAGAATATGTTTAAAGGGAGATAGCTTAACCCTTATTAGTATAGATAATAATGTGGACATACAGGTCTGTAATCCCTTGCCAACAATTCCAAAATCCAAAATACTATAAAAATGGAAACCTGGCTTGAATTATAGTAAGGCTATTTATAGGTTTTATTTAGCTTTCTTAGTGTATTTATAGATTTTGATAAGGAAGTACTAATCTGTTTGATTACAAACTCTTCAGGGGTGTTAAATGATATGGCATATATGCCATATGTCTTTTCTAAAATCTAGAAAATTCTTAAACACCTCCTGCCTCAGGGATTTTAGATTATAATTTGTAGACCTCTCGTGTTGTACTGTATGAAGTTAGCAAATTAGATGTTCTAGCCTGGGTGTTACTAGATTTAGTTAAGTCATTAGGAACTGTTCTAGTTCTCTATACTGTACAGATTTGATACAGTCCCTTCCTTTTTCTTCTTTTTAAAATAAATTTATATATTACTTGCTTATAAGGAACTTCCTAAAGTTGAAGCTAGCTTTGAACTTTTAGTTTCTTTGAACGCCTACATCTCTGAGAAGAATAATGACTAAGATAGAAGGGTAAAATTTAAAACAGAAGTCAAATATGTTTTGGCCCTCCTATGCTACCTTCTGTTAGAGAGTATGCTATATGCAAGAAAGCCTTTATCTATATTTTTCAAGCACATCTTCTTATTTAATTTAAAACTTGCCTTATAGGCTACAAGTGATCTGGAACACTATGATAAAGCTCGACATGAAGAATTTAAAAAATATGAAATGATGAAGGAACATGAAAGGAGAGAATATTTAAAAACACTGAATGAAGAGAAGAGAAAAGAAGAAGAATCTAAATTTGAGGAAATGAAGAGAAAGCATGAAAATCATCCCAAAGTTAATCATCCGGTAAGGATTTTGACTTTGTAAAACCATGGTTAGATGAAGATACTTCTTTGTGCCAGATAGTAGAATTTTATAAGTTATTAGTACTTAAAATCTTGATTCTTAATTCTGCAAAGTTTTTCAATTTTATATATTTTTTTGAGCCCACATACATAGATTATAGTTTGTTTTGAGTGTTTTTTTTTTAAATTGATTCACAGGGAAGCAAAGATCAACTAAAAGAAGTGTGGGAAGAGACTGATGGATTGGATCCTAATGACTTTGACCCCAAGACATTTTTCAAATTACATGGTAACAGATTTGATACAACATTAATATTTATATCTCTTGTTTGAAAAATTATAGATGCTTTACTCTTAATTGATTTCTGCCAAGGTTTGCTAATCGAGTCCTATTGATAGTAAACGTTTAGAGTTTTCCTCTAGGGTAGTATAGTAGTCTTTATTGCTGGTCTGCAGTATAAAATATTTTAGGTCAATAGCTATGTCTTTATACTTGCTTTTACTTTTGAGTCATTTTATGACTTATTACAAGTTTCTCTGTAAAATGAAGGCATTTCTGTGACTAGCTAGGTTATATCTAATGGACTTTATGCTGTAATATTAAAATTTACTTTTAGTCTTATAGCATATTGCTTCACTTTATATTTTGGTTAATATATATATTTTTCTAAATGACTATGATGAATTATGAATAAGTAATGAATTGATATCAGTTGGACTGATCTGAGGCTTCATAAAAAAGAAAGATACCTTTTTCTGCAGCATGTTGATGCTTCATGTTAAGTAATACTTTTGCAAACCATTAGTAATTAGTTGTATTTTAACTATCAGTTTTCTAAGGCATTAAAATCAGTTTTTGCATTTGTAACTTTTAAACTTTAGATGTCAATAGTGATGGCTTCCTAGATGAACAAGAATTAGAAGCCCTATTTACTAAAGAGGTAAATGAGTTCATTAAGTATTCAGTGGTTTTGCTCTGTCTTTTTTCCTTCTGTTATCTTCCTTTCTTTTATGTTGGCTTTCAATTTTTCTTTTTAGTTGGAGAAAGTATATGACCCCAAAAACGAAGAGGATGATATGGTAGAAATGGAGGAAGAAAGGCTTAGAATGAGGGAACATGTAATGAATGAGGTATGTTTGAAAAGTTTATCTGTTACTTCTCTGGATTTTTCAAGTTCTTGCAATAAATCTTATTGTAAAATGGAAAATAAATATATATAATAGATATTTAATTGGATTTTGCATTTTTGATCCAGAACAGTCAGTAGGTTCCCTTAGTGTAAATAAAATTATTTTGTAACTGCTTTAAAATATTTTAAAATATTAAGATGCTGCTGCATATAAAAGAATGCTCTAAAACAGTCTTTTAGGAGTAAAAAATAATGTAGTCCATTATTTGATATTTTAAATGCTGTATTAGTTTTTGCTAAGAAATTAAAAAACTCAATACCTTAATGGTTTATAACAACAAGTATTTATTTCTTGTTCACATTACTAAGCTGAAAACTCTGAAATGGCTATCATAGGCAGGGTAACTTAAGCCCACTTTTTTGTTGTTTTGTTTTGTTTTGTTTGTTTGTTTGTTTTTGGCTGCACCACATGGCTTGTGGGATCAGCTTGTGGGATCTTAGTTCCCTGACCAGGGATCGAACCAGGGCCCTTGGCAGTGAAAGCATAGAGTCCTAACCACTGGACAACCAGGGAATTCCCCAAGCCCACTGTTTTGCTTCAGTGATTTTCGCCTGATATTTGAGCTATTTATGGTAAATTGGGATTTTTGTTGAGTGCTGGCTTCCAAGTGAATTCCAAATGAATTTCTTTGGCCATCATAGAGTTCACTTTTGTAACTGAATTTGCCATAGTCTATGAGGGCCATTAAACAGGGTTTGGAAAGGTTGTCAACTTTAGCTTTGATTTAGTTAGTTGTTTGTTTTTAGGAAAACAATGTTGAGAGCATTTTAACTTAAACTCCTTTACTCTTGGCTAAAACAGTCTTCTTTCTGGAAAGATTGTTTTTCTTGCCCAAGCACTTGGCTTTGAAAGGAGGTGTGGTGAGTAAGGAAAACAATACTAGTCTACCCAGTCATATCAGCAGACTCAAATTTGGTGATCTTTGGGGGTATCAGCTATTTTCAAATTTGAATTATATAGAAGAGAAAGTTATCTTTTTTCTTATTCTAGGATAATGTTGAGTGTCCTGTTTTGATTTTTTCCCCTCAGTTTCTCTGGATGTTAGGCTAGCCCTAATTGCTGTATGTTTATGTAGTAGCATCTATTAGAAGAATTTCTAGTATCTAAATAATGTGAAAGAGTTATTTTATTTTACATATACATTTTCCTTTAATCAGGTTGATACTAACAAAGACCGATTGGTGACTCTAGAAGAGTTTTTGAAAGCTACAGAAAAAAAGGAATTCTTGGAGCCAGATAGCTGGGAGGTAATAGAACCTACGTGAAATGGGATGTATGGTTCAAGAAATTCTATATCAGTCTATTCTGCTTTTAACTTTTATTCGCCATTATGTTTGCATGTATAGTTTTACCATCTTGGCTTTTCATATAAAATGTCACTATAAAATAATGAACTTGATTTCTTGCAAAGCTGGGACAATTGATCTCTGTTGGTAATCACATTGCATGTAATTGTGTCTTTCTAAAATCGTACATTTTTTTTTTTTTTTTGCGGTACGCGGGCCTCTCACTGTTGTGGCTTTTTCCCCTTCATAGGCTCTGGGCGCGCAGGCTCAGCAGCCATGGCTCACGGGCCTAGCCGCTCTGCGGCATGTGGGATCTGCCTGGACCGGGGGCACGACCCTGTGTCCCCTGCATCGGCAGGCGGACTCTCAACCACTGCGCCACCAGGGAAGCCCTAAAATCATACTTTTTTACATGTAAAATAATGTTCATTCTTGAAAATTAAAAATATGGATACAGTTAAAGTATGAATTAGAGGTTACATGTAATTCTACCATCCGGAGGTAGACACTTAAATTATGCATTGTGTTATGCCAGTTTGGAAACCGTTTGTATATTTAGTATATGCATATATAGCATACAGTGAATAAATAGTGTACTGTCCCATTTTTAGCTTACATATACACATAAATTCATATCTATATATTTTTTAAATGGCTTCATATATTCACTATATAAATGACTGTATGTTTGTGAAATTCTGTTTTTTTTAAATATAACAATACTTCATGAACATTTGCCAATGCCATGTCTCAAAAATCTCGATTTAAAAAATGACCACTTAGCATGCAGTTGTGTGGTTGTAGCATAATTTATATAGCCATTCTTCCAGATTCAGACATTATGGGTCAATTCTAATTCTTCTTTTACTGTGATAAATAACATTATGATGACTATCCATTTGTTCATGCATTTGGGGGCATCTGTGATGATTTCCCTGGGATTAATTCCTAGTAATAGAACTATTCTCAAGTTTTATGAACATTTTTTAGTTTCTAAATATATCTGTCATATTGCTCCTGAAAAGTATTTGAATTTATACCATGGTTTACTGTGTATAAGTGAGTGCATACACATCTTGAACGGAATGGTTGAGCGGTACCAAACAAAGTAGATTGAAAAAAGAACATCGTCAACAGGTGCAAGCCGTGGCTGTCAGCGCGGACACCAGTGACAGGCATGAAACACTAAGGCTACTACTGCAGCCACCAAGAAGCCTGTGTGCAAGCACAGGTCACTATCCACACCACCCCGGGAGCCTGTGCAGCCCGCCACTGCCAGGATCCAGTGATCCAGAGAAAACTTCCCCAGGAGAACACACAGCATGCCTCAGGCTATGGCAAAGTCATGTCAGCCTCTGCCACCGCAGGCTCACCCCGCATTCCGTACCCCTGCCTCCCCACCGGCCTGAGTGAGCCAGAGCCCCCTAATCAGCTGCTACTTTAACCCCATCCTGTCTGGGCAAAGAACAGACACCCTGAGATGACCTACATGCAAAGGCGGGTCCAAATCCAAAGCTGAACCCCAGGAGCTGTGCGAACAAAGAAGAGAAAGGGAAATTTCTCCCAGCAGCCTCGGGAGCAGCGGATTAAATCTCCACAGTCAACTTGATGTACCCTGCATCTGTGGAATACCTGAATAGACAACAAATCATCCCAAAATTGAGCTGGTGGACTTTGGGAGCAACTGTAGAGTTGGGGTTTGCTTTCTGCATCTAATTTATTTCTGGTTTTATGTTTATCTTAGTTTAGTAATTAGAGTTTATTATCATTGGTAGATTTGTTTATTGATTTGGTTGCTCTCTTCCTTTTTTTTAAATATAGATACATATATATTTTTTCCTTTTTCTCTTTTTGTGACTGTGTATGTGTATGCTTCTTTGTGTGATTTTGTCTCTATAGCTTTGCTTTTACCATTTGTCCTAGGTAATCTGTCCGTTTTTTTTGGGTTTTTTTTAGTATAGTTTTTATTGCTTGTTATCATTGGTGGATTTGTTTCTTGGTTTGGTTGCTCTCTTCTTTGTTTCTTTCTTTTTTTATTACTTTTTAATTTATTTTTAATAATTAAAAAAATTTTTTTATTTTAATTATTTCCTTCCTTCCTTCCTCCCTCCCTCCCTTCCTTCCTTCGTACAGGTGTCAGGCCTGTGCCTCTGAGATAGGAGAGCTGAGTTCAGAACAATTGGTCCACCAGAGACCTCCCAGCTTCAGGTAATATCAAACGGTGATAGCTCTCCCAGAGATCTCCATCTCAACACTTAGACCCAGCTCCACTAAACGACCAGCAAGCTACAGTTCTGGACACCGTATGCCAAACAACTAGTAAGACAGGAACACAACCCCACCCATTAGCAGAGAGGCTGCCTAAAATCATAATAAGGTCACAGACGCCCCAAAACACACCACCGGACATCGTCCTGCTCACCAGAAAGACAAGATCCAGTCTCATCCACCAGAACACAGGCACCAGTCCCCTTGACCAGAAAGGCTACACAACCCACTGAACCAACCTTAGCCACTGTGGGGAGACACCAAAAACAACAGGAACTACAAACCTGCAGCCTGCAAAAAGAAGACCCCCCCCAGTAAATTAAGCAAAATGAGAAGACAGAGAAACACACAGCAGATGAAGGAGCAAGATAAAAACCCACCAGACCAAACAAATGAAGAGGAAATAGGCAGTCTATGTGAAAAAGAATTCAGAGTAATGATAGTAAAGATGATCCAAAATCTTGGAAATAGAATGGAGAAAATACAAGAAACGTTTAACAAGGACCTAGAAGAACTAAAGAGAAAACAAACAATGATGAACAACAAAATAAATTTAAAAATTCTCTAGAAGGGGACTTCCCTGGTGGTGCAGTGGTTGAGGGTCCGCCTGCCGATGCCGGGGACACACGTTTGTGCCCCAGTCCGGGAGGATCCCACATGCCACGGAGTGGCTGGGCCCGTGAGCCATGGTCGCTGAGCCTGCGCGTCTGGAGCCTGTGCTCCGCAACGGGAGAGGCCACAGCAGTGGTCCGGAGCCTGTGCTCCACAACGGGAGAGGCCCGCGTAACATAAAAAAAAAAAAAAAAATCTCTAGAAGGAATCAATAGCAGAATAACTGAGGCAGAAGGACAGATAAGTGACCTGGAAGATAAAATAGTGGAAATAACTACCGCAGAGCAGAATAAAGAAAAAAGAATGAAAACAACTGAGGACAGTCTCAGGACAGTCTGGGATGACATTAAATGCACTAACATTCAAATTATAGGGGTCCCAGAGGAAGAAGAGAAAAAGAAAGGGACTGAGAAAATATTTGAAGAGGTTATAGTTGAAAACTTCCCTAATATGGGAAAGGAAATAGTAAATCAAGTTCAGGAAGCACAGAGAGTCCAATACAGGATAAATCCAAGGAGGAACATGCCAACACACATATTAATCAAATGATCAAAATTTAAATGCAAAGAAAAATATTAAAAACAGTAAGGGAAAGCAACAAATAACATACAAGGGAATCCCCATAAAGTTAACAGCTGATCTTTCAGGAGGAACTCTGCAAGCCAGAAGGGAGTGGCAGGACATATTTAAAGTGATGAAAGGGAAAAACCTACAACCAACATTACGCTACCCAGCAAGGAACTCATTCAGATTCGACGGAGAAATTAAAACCTTTACAGACAAGCAAAAGCTAAGAGAATTCAGCACCACCAAACCAGCTTTACAACAAATGCTAAAGGAACTTCTCTAGGCTGGAAACACAAGAGAAGGAAAAGACCTACAATAACAAATCCAAAACGATTAAGAAAATGGTAATAAGAACATACATATTGAAAACTACCGTAAATGTAAATGGATTAAATGCTCCAACCAAAAGACATAGACTGGCTGAATGGATACAAAGACAAGACCTGTATATATGCTGTCTACAAGAGACCCACTTCAGACCTAGGGACACATACAGACTGAAAGTGAAGGGATGGAAAAAGATATTCCATGCAAATGGAAATCAAAAGAAAGCTGGAGTAGCGATTCTCATATCATAAAACAGACTTTAAAATAAAGACTATTACAGGAGACCAAGAGAGACACTACATAATGATCAAGGGATCAATCCAAGAAGAAGATATAACAATTGTAAATATTTATGCACCCAACATAGGAGCACCTCAATACATAAGGCAAATGCTAACAGCCATAAAAGGGGAAATCAACAGTGACACAACCATAGTAGGGGGCTTTAACACCCCACTTTCACCAATGGACAGATCATCCAAAATGAAAATAAATAAGGAAACAGAAGCTTGAAATGATACATTAAACAAGATGGACTTAATCTATATTTATAGGACATTCCATCCAAAAACAACAGAATACACTTTTTTCTCCAGTGCTCATAGAACATTCTCCAGGATAGATCATATCTTGGGTCACAAATCAAGCCTTGGTAAATTTAATAAAATTGAAATTGTATCAGATATCTTTTCCGACCACAATGCTATGAGACTAGATATCAATTACAGGAAAAAATATGTAACAAGTACAAACACATGGAGGCTAAACAATACACTACTAAAGAACCAAGATATCACTGAAGAAATCAAAGAGGAAATCAAACAATACCTAGAGAGAAATGACAATGAAAACATGATGACCCAAAACCTATGGGATGCAGCAAAAGCAGTTCTAAGAGGGAAGTTTATAGCAATACAATCCTACTTCAAGAAACAAGAAACATCTCAAATAAAACAACCTAACCTTACAACTAAAGCAGTTAGAGAAAGACTAACACAAAAAAACCCAAAGTTAGCAGAAGGAAAGAAATCATAAACATCAGATCAGAAATAAATGAAAAAGAAATGTAGGAAACGGTAGCAAAGATCAAGAAAACTAAAAGCTGGTTCTCTGAGAAGATAAACAAAATTGATCAACCATTAGCCAGACTCATCAAGAAAAAAAGGGAGAAGACTCAAATCAATAGA